GAGAGACACAAGGGTGCAATGCTTCGAGTCCAATATATAGTTATATACATACATATATTATATATAGAGAGAGATATTATTCGATCATCGTTTCTACGATTCCCCGAGAAGCAAGTGGCTCAAGTGCTACGCAAAAGGCCATATTTATAATGTCAAAAGACTCCGCCTTCTCTCTTTGACAGCCTTTTCTCAGCACATTTTCCACCCACTTGAATATATATATATATATGTGTGTGTGTGTTGCCTTGGTAATTTATTTAATATTGAAGTATTCTTTCTCAAAAGGAGAACTCCCGCAAATGTGTGAGTACGTATATATATATATATATATATTTGTTTAATTGAAAATACGTGGAAATTTTGAAGGAATCATATAGACGAAGATCGAATATCATATTGCTGATATTGTGAGCGTTGGACCATCTCTCTATATACTTTTGGGATCGATCGTCTTTTATTTATAAAAAAAAAAAAAAGAAGAGAGAAGTCAAAGCAATGCACGAGTGGTGATTGTAGCCAATCGGATGAGGGGGAATCTTTGAAAGCCAATATATTTTACAACTCTTCATATGAATCACCAAAATCGCGTAATACAACTAGACCGCCCAATACAAAGAAAAGAATGGTGGGGGGAAAACGAATTCTTGATTTTCCTCATCCATTAGTATCCAAAAAAAAAAAGGGCAGCCCAACATTAATCAGGTCGAGATGGAATCTTTTGATGAAATATTTGTTTGAAGATTGTCTTGCAGAATAAAACCTTGCTCTATTATTTATTCTACAAAAATAGTACAATATAAACATAAACACAGAGTAATTCTAATCTCGTTAGAAAACTATAATCAATGACAGACGGTGTAAACATGAAACTACGCAAAAAAGAATTGTTTGTTGGCAAAACTATGTCTCGGGGAAAGGATATATTGTGATAAATATTTTTGTCGATTCTTTTTTTTCGACGAGTGAGAGTTATGAGATAAAATAAATCGAAACCAAAAGAAGAAAATTAAGGGGGGAAAAAACAAAACTAAATGATTAACTTATTATTCTTCAAAATTGAAAACGTCATAACTACATCTGTTACATCCCGAACTATGATGAAGGTTGAGAATGATCGTCGGAGCGACTACCCAAATACCATCAGGCTAGAAGAGTAGATGAATGAATCGAACGCATCGAAACGAGAGAGATTCGAGAGCTGTATATGAATGAGACTGTATACAGTGCACCTACTTTTTCGGTTGTCTACGAAAGAACTTCAAAGTTAATTGTTTGAAAACCTTCAAAGTGAGATAATGGAAAGTATTTTTCGGTATGCGTGTGAATAAGGGTCTCGTATTGGTATAAGAATATAGTTTCAACGCTCCGTAGCGATTTCAGATCGTTACAATATCGTTGATGGATACATATCATCATCATCACCCTCTTCTTTAACCACCATATTTCGTGAACGCTAATAAAATTTTAAACCTCAAGAATGTAACGAGGTTCTAATATCATGTCAAGATTTGATGAATAAAACTTTATTGTATTATTTATTCAACCAAACAACTTAAATATAAAGTAAATCTAATCTTATTAGAAAACAATAAACTAGTCCTATTAGAATACTAATACTAATCTTATTAGAAATATAATTCTGTAATAGCTAACCCTTTATAACTCTCTATCATTTCAAATAAAGATAGATATGGGTCCAGATTTTATATTAAAAAAAGTATTCACGGGTATTGGGATATATCCCAAAAATATCATTTTGATTTTATTTACAATTTTAATCTTATGTGGATTTTAGTTGTTATAAACAAAAAGTTTCCGATGAAATTATAATTTTTGGTAAATATAAAGATATAATTATAAATCAACAAAATTTAAATAGTTTTCAATGAGTTGGCAATTTTTTTTCTTTCTTAAACAGAATATTGTAATGATTTAATTAGATTTGATTTAGTTTGGGTATTTCGAATTTGATATGGTTTGATTTTGCAATAGTTTTCTATATAACTTTATGGGTTAATCTCATATTCCCCCACAAATTTTCAAAAAAATTCCAATTTCCTACACCAATTTTTAATTTGACAAAAAACTACACCAGATTTCAAATATTTCCAAATTTCTACACAAAATCTAAAAATGTGTTGCAATTTCCCCCATATCCATAAACGACGTTAAGTTCCGTCAATTTTAATGCTGATATGGCATACAGAATTCGCCAAATCATCGCATTTCGAAAATTGTGTGTATAATTGTGTATAGATATAAAAATGGAACTTTTTCGAAAATTTGCATAATATGGGATTAACCCTAACTTTATATTTAGTAAACTTGTTCCTCATCTTATCAAACAACACAGAAAACAAATTTATCTTATATTAATCATTGGATCCGTTAGATTTCAATAGATTGACAGTGAAAACTTCAAACCGGAGATGCTAATTGTGAAATTTCCTTTTAATAGGATAATTTCGTAGTAGAATTGTTAATTTTGATTTAGTCACAAGCTATATAACAGAAGACAGAAACTGTTTTTAATCAAAGTAATCGTATTCAGCATAAGTCCAATTGCATGTCCGATATGAGAAGAGATGTTCGAATGATATGTTTCTAGTCAATTATTTTATACTTTCGTTTCAAAATAATTATTGTTTTAAATTATTTCATAATAAAAAGAATGTTATTATTCATAATTTATAATTTATTGGAAATTATTTATTGGAGTTTGATAAGAATAAAATAGAAAACTATTGTAAAAAAATATCTCAAAAATATAGAATGATAAATATTTCAAAACATGAAAAATAAAGAAATAAACGTTTTTATATATAACCAAAAAAATAACTTTAGCCAATTAATTTAGCATTGAGGGTAATTCTGTGATCCAAGGGGAAAATCAGACTCTTGTTATTTGCCTTACTACCTTTATATCCATATAAAAATAAATAAATTTTTATTTAGACATGAAAAATATTAGATCTTTTAAAGAATATTATAAAAATAAATAATACACGTATTTATATATACATATATGTATACATATGACATCAAAGTATTTATAATAAATTTTGACAAATCTAAGTATTTTACAATCAATTCAATTTGGAAATTTTTTGAATGTTTAGATATCCATACAATTGATTATACACAAGATTTTCAATAATATTATTACCTAGAAATATTACATAACATAGACATGCATACCAAACATCAATTCAATTACGTTTACATTCTATTCGAAACAGTTTATTATAATTGTTTACATTATATAAATTATTTATAAAATATTCAAATCATATGAAACTTATGTCCTAATTTGATTCAACTATAATCCACAAATCTTAATCCCAATCTGAATCGACCATAGAGTAGATCACCGAATAATGCATTAACAGAAATCCACATTCATCAGCATTTTTTCCAGATCTAAAAGACCAAACAGAGGGATCGGACAGAGATGAGAAACGAGAATCGTAACCGGATAAAGATCTGGGAAAATCAAAGAGATGAATGTAAAGGTATAATGTGCTAAAGCCTTACTAGACAAGCTTCAAAGACAGAATCTCAGCATGCCTGAAGAGCAGAAGCAGAGTTCGATGTCGGAGCAGTTAAACACCTCACATGCCATCGAGATTTCTTCAGGCAAGGAGGCTGCCTGAATCACTACTCCATATCATCAGATTTCGAAAACGAAAACGAAAACGGAAACGATTCTATATCAGATCGATCTCAGCCCACGATGTCAACGGATGAAGAATCGGTGACAGAGAGGCTGAGAAGATCTGCGAATTTTGATATAGGGATCTGCATTCATCTCTATGGCATCTTGTATATTAGGCCAAAGAGCCAAACTCCAGTCCCAGAGATTGAATCAACAAAAAGAAGGAAACAAAACGGAACAGACCCACCATTGGAATGGAACCCTAGCCGCCACTTCGTAGCTGCGTCTGGTTCTTTCAGACAGAAACCGAAAACTCAATTAGGGTTTCCACTGCCACCACCAGGCACCAGTGCTTTATAGAGGTTTGAAGACACGCGTGGGCCAATTTAGGTCAAGATATGAAAGATATTGGGCCTTTATTTAAGCCCATATCAATGGCGTACCCGACAACGTGCCCTGTTTCAGAAACGGACGCTGTTTCTTCGGAGTTTTTGCGTTTCGCATCCAAACAAACATCAAGAGAAATACGATTTGATTAAGGGTGATCATTTCGGGTTTGCTTCGTTTTATATTCGAATTCGGTTATTTCAATTATCAAATCAATCAGTTTTTATATTAAATTTGATTCGGTTGATTCCCTTTGATTCGTTTTTCATTGATAAAAATATTTATATTTCATAAAAAAAATTCAGTTTTTTCGATTATTTTTTGGTCGGTTAGGTTAAGATTTAAAAAAATCATAACCATCCGATCTTTCTATCGTATTCGGTTCTATTATAACTATACTTTATTCGGTGTTACTCGTACATATAAAATAGAAAAAAATAATATTTGAGCCCATCTCGAAAATGGAATATTTGTCCATCAACGAGACAAGTTTAGATCCAATGACTGCGAAAACCTGATCTTCATGTTCGAATTTGTTGCCTAACGGCTATCATTAAGTATCGATCACCAGATTCACCTAGGAGTAGGATTACTCGTCGCCTTTTGTTTGATCGTTCTAATGCCTTGCATCGTCTCCATGACTTCGACGTTTGTGCCTCGTCTCGCCCTACTCTCTTCGACCTTATCTCTATCTTTTCTAGCCTCGTCTCCTCCTTCTCTCCTCATCGCCTCGGCTCTCTCTCTTTCTCCGCTCTCTCGTCCTCGTCGATCGGTTAATCTACAAATATCTAAACATTTACAATATTACACATTTTGATAATTTCCTCTGGAAAAAAGTACTATAGATTTTTGTTTTAGCAGAGAACGGAACTGTGAAATTCTGATAGTATTTTAAAGGTATTTTTGATAAAACGTCAATTGTATTTGACTGGAACCGCTTCACCACTATAACACAGGGATTAGGGGTAGGCGTTTCAGTTGGATTCTTCAGAACCGAATCATACCAAACCGAAAATTTTGGTATTTTTTCTGAACCGTACCGTTCAAAGTTTTCGAACGGTATGATTTTTATAAAACCAAATTTTCCGAAACCGAACCAAACTTTATAAAATTCTCAAAAAACCGAAATTTTCTTAAAAAAATCTATTTTTTTTAATCGAACTGAAACGAGTATTATACAATACTAATTTGGTATAAATTTTATAATACCGAATAAAATCGTTTTTGAATCGAAAAACTAAAATTCTGATCTGAATTCCGAACGTCCACCCCTGATTGGGATATCCTACTCTTTTAAAATTAGGTATACCAATTTTTTTTTTTTTTTTCTGGCCAATAAATAGGCCAATGTTTAATAAGCAACCATGTGTTAAAACTTAAAAGGTACTAATTCTGTCTTTAATAATGCCTTTGCTTTAGGACCTTCTGAGAGAAAGAGAGTATTACCTACGACTTTACAAAGAAGAGAGACCTGAGATTGGGCGTGGTCGAGTCGGCTGATTGGCCTTAATTACTCTCTCCGACCCATCTTCTCGCTCTATCCCTGCTCTGAGAGAGCAGCAGAAGAAGAAGCAACAAAAAGCCTAATCTTTGTGGGATTCAGGAGCTGGGTTTGTGGGGAACATGTCGCACGTGGTGTTCCAGAGCGCCCTCGCTCCCAAACCCTTATCTCCGCTCAAGTCCTGTCTTCCGATTCGACGCCCACTTCCCTCGTCTCTGCCGTGTAAGCTCCGCCGCAGCGTCGTTAGGGCTTCGTCGTCGTCTCCTCCTGTTGACGCCGCCGGAGAATCCATTTCATCTCTCGAGCGATGCTTCATGTTACCGTCGAGCGGTGGTGAATTAGGGCCTTCGTCCTCTGCTTCGTGTTCTTCAGCTTCCGCCGGGGCTCAGCTGGGTCCTGTGATGAAAGGGAAGTACGGTTCTTTTGGAGCGGTGACTCTTGAGAAGGGGAAGCTCGAAATCAGCCAGAAGAAAGCCGAGTCCAGCCCTGAGGTCTCTCTCTCTCTCTCTAAGTGTGTTTCAGTAACCTGCAATGGCTCGAATCGATACAATGGTTCTAACCTTTAGCTAATTTTGGGTCTTAATTGTTTACTCTTAACGGTTCTGTGACGCACTTTCTCTGCTGGACTGGGCAAATGCTTCAGGACAGCGATATTCGAAAGGGGTATCTCTAGTAATTCTAGCGGATTTTGGTTCATAGAGCAATCTCTGAAAATTAAGGATGATTTGACCAAACACCCTCTAAAGTATAGAGCTTTGATCTATGGTGAGGAGGATGAATGGACATGTTGGCCGTATGTAAATGATCCAATAAGCTAGTGGTTCCTGACTCTTTATCTGATCTCAAAACCACTGTCTTGTCAATCGACATCTTGGTATGATGACCTGAGGTGGAATAAAATGATCCTCTGTTCATTATCAAACACACTGAGAAGTTTCAATGGATTCTCGATGAACAGAAAGGAGGTAAAGTAAAACACTCTGTAGCCAACAAGATCATGAATATATATACCTGGTTGTTTGGGGACATAAATCTTGTGTTAGCATTTCCTGAGAGACAGCCTCTGGGCTCTGTCAGTTCTGTAGGCTTTATTGGGATGGAACTAACGTCAGAGAGTTAATGAATATGTTTTTCTGTTGATAAGGAGAAATACTTATGTTTTTACCGAATTTCTTACTCATTTCTTATAACAGCTTGCACTTGGAGGAGGTGGTGGAGATATTGGAAAGAAAATCAATCATGGTGGTGGCGACGGGGGTGACGATGACGGTGATGATGACGACTACTTTGATGAATTTGATGATGACGATGATGGAGATGAAGGTGGACTCTTTAGGCGCCGGCAGTTTCTTGCTGAGGTAAGAATTCAACATACTTTTGCATGTAGTTTTTTTGTGAGTTTTTATTGTCATGTTTCCCATCAGTAACAAGTCTTGTGTTTTCCAGCTTTTTGATAGGAAATTTGTGGATGCTGTGTTGAACGAGTGGCAGAAAACGATGATGGATTTGCCTGCTGGCTTCCGCCAAGCTTATGAAATGGTAATCTATCTTCAAAGCTTCCAATTCATGCTTGGAGGGACAATTAAAACCTGGTATTGATGGAGTGTATTGTCTGCAGGGACTGATCAGCTCAGCCCAAATGGTGAAATTCCTTGCCATAAATGCTCGTCCAACGACTACGAGGTTCATTTCCCGTGCACTTCCGCATGAATTGTCTAGGGCCTTTATTGGAAGGTAATTTTTTGGAAGGTACTATCTTAGATATTCATTTAGCTTTTCTTTTGTAGAATCTTAGATATTCATGTAGCTGAACTCTTGAACACTACCCGATATCTGGGAAATTGATGTATACATTACATAAGCAGCGTTTGTCTTAACTAGACAACTCTTATCTTGTCTAGGATGCTGGCAGATCCCGCGTTTCTCTACAGGCTTCTATTGGAACAGATTACAACAGTCGGTTGTTCTGTTTGGTGGGAGTTGAAAACCCGCAAGAACAGGTCTTTTTTCCCTTCATTCCTCTCCCATTTTTTAACGATATTTTTCGTAGTTTTTTTTATTATTTCTATAAATTGTTTTGTCCATCGCTTGCAGGATAAAGGAAGAATGGGATCTCGCACTTATAAACGTTCTTACGGTTTCAGTATGTAATGCCGCTGTCGTTTGGTTGTTGGCACCATCCCGTTCCTATGGAAATACGTTTCGGTTTGACCTGCAGAACACGTTGCAAAAGCTACCGAACAATGTGTTTGAAATGAGTTATCCTCTTCGGGAATTCGACTTGCAAAAGAGAATACACTCTCTTTTCTACAAAGCTGCAGAATTGTCGATTATTGGACTCGCGGCAGGAACTCTCCAAGGGTCTTTGTCTAATTTCTCAGCGAGCAAGAAGAAGGACAGGTAAGCTCCTATCTTCTACTTCACACTCTGCATCTATCTTTCAGCTCGGATTTGACGCATCTTACTGATTGATATGTCTCTTATTTTTTTTGGTTGCAGAGTATCTGTATCGGTTCCATCCGTGAGCACGAATGCGCTCGGTTATGGCGCATTTCTCGGAATTTACGCAAACTTGAGATATCAACTGTTATGCGGGTTTGATAGAGCGATGACAAACCACTTTGATGTTATCAGAGTAGCGCTCTTCTTCAGCACTGCCTTGAGGTATTCCTCTCTTCTCTCTCTTTCTCTTTCGAGGGTGAGATTGGGTTATAGCGTTAGAAAACTCGGAATTCGGATTTGGTCTCGGGTTTGATAACCCGAAAATTTCGGATATCGATCCAAGTAAACTTATTTTGAAAAAAAAAGGTGAAATTTTGTATTTAGACTCGGGTTTCGGTAATCTTGGTGCCCAAAAAATTATCTTGGGTACCCAAAGATCACAACAGATTGGTGATCGGGTAATAACTCATGAAACCGGAGATGCTCGGTTTCCTATACGAGTTAACATAACCCAAAAATCGCAGATATACCCGATCTGTGGCCATCCCTGATTTGTACAACAAAATGCGCGTGTCCTGAACTTGTGCAGGATGTTGAACGTTCAGTTGGGAGAACGGTCGAGGCTAGCATGGCTGGGGGTGGAGCCTGACCCGCTGGTTCAGTCAGATGATCTTCTGGAAAGGGCATACAACCGGCCAGCGTCTTCCAGATGGTTAATCTCGAAGAATGCGATAGTCTCGGGGCTCGGCCTTCTGGGCAAGAAGCAAGAGGGTTCTGCAGGTGAAGCTCCCCCTCCAAGGGCTCGGCGGAAGAGAATTGTACGGAAGAAGGTAGTAGCTTCAGCCTCGTAAAAAAAAAAAAGACGGCCCTTTTTCATATGACCAGAGTCGCAAATTTTGTTACCGAGAGGGGGGATTCAGCCACTGTCTCCAAATTCTATTAATAAAATTCTTCATTTTTTTTTTTGATAATTTCACTGGGTCTTTGACCCGACTATATCTTCCATAGGACCAGGAAAATCCATGTGAATGTCTTTCTCCACGCTTGGATTTGAACCCACGATAAGAATATGCTTTGCATGTTATTTTACCACTAGGCCACCCAAACTTGGGTAAAAATTAATCAAATTTTTAGTTTTACTTCGTCTTCTGATGCAAATTCTTTATTGCTTCTGGTAATAAGTAACATAATCTTCTGAGAGCTATGAACTCTCTTTCGTTTTTTTTTTATAGAAAATATACTGTGTAAAAATGGCCTTTGCTGCATCTCAGTTATACTTCAGAGTTCACACCTCTTCATATTTGTTGAATCGGTTTTATTTTTTCAAAAGAACTAATATCCGATCATTTTAGAGAAAAAAATTGGAAAAAATCCAAAAAAATATTTATTCAATTTTCACAAAATAAAATCTAAATTTTGGTTTTTATCAAAAAAAAATCTAAATTTTATTTTTTCAGTTACAAATAAATCTAAATTTTATAATTGTTTTTATTTTTAAATCTAAATGTTAATTTGGTATATAGAGATTGTATGTGACAAATCAACAGTTGATCATATTTGATACGCGTATACTACGTTAGTATTTAAAAGTGACAATTTTTTTTATAAAGTTTAGTTTTATTTATAATTTAAGATTCAAGTTGAGATTTTGTTTTGCGGAAAAAACAAAGTAAATATTTTATTTTGAAAATATTGATAAGTTCAAGATATTTTTTGGAATTTTTCCAAAAAATATGCCACTCTTGGGTTTTTTTAATTAAATATTGTTTCAGAATTTTATTTTATTTTCTAAAAAAACTAGTTTTAAGATTTTCAGTTAATTTTTTCCTAAAAAATCCCAAAGTAATGCGAAGATTTATTTTGATCTATTTCATGATATAAAAAAAAAGACATAATACTTTGTAAAACAACGATTTACATTGAAACAGATGGAGTTGAAGACAATTCTAGAATTTTTTTTTATTGAAAACATGATTTAAAATTCAATTTTATATATGAAGATCTTGAATATTTGAATTTAAAATTTATTAAAAAAAGAAAAAAATCACCCAAAAAAACCTCATCGAAAAAACACTGTATTTTTTTGCTTACCAATTAAATCTTGTACTTGGTATGATTATCCTAAAAAACCCCGAACCTTTTAAAAATTCGCCGAAAACCTCATATGTGTGCAACTCAAACAAAAATAATGATGTGACAATGACCTGACTTCTAAATTATGCATACATCATCATAATTATACCACATCATCTCAAACAAAATTTAAATTAATAATTTATTTAAATTAATATATATGCATATAAATTCACATATATATATATTAAAAATAAAATTATTTGTAAGTAATAAAACACATACATACATAACTACAACACATATATATATATATATATACACACATATATATATATACACATATATATATATATATA